CACTTTTCCATTTTTCTTGGACGTCCTCCATTTTCGCGGTAGAATTCAAAGATGTAGCCGTGTTAGTCTGTAGAATCAGTATTTAGAGAGATCTTGTAGCACCTTTGAGACTCACTGAAAGAAAGAAGTTGGCAGCAGGAGCTTTCATAGACTTTAATAATAATAATAATAACAATAACAACAACAACAATAATATGTAGAGAGATCTTGTAGCACCTTTGAGACTCACTGAAAGAAAGAAATTGGCAGCATGAGCTTTCGTAGACTTTAATAATAATATGTAGAAAGACCTTGCAGCACCTTTGAGTCTCACTGGAAGAAAGAAGTTGGCAGCAGGAGCTTTCCTATAGTTTAATAATAATAATAATAATAACAATATGTAGAGAGATGTAGCACCTTTGAGACTCACTGAAAGAAAGAAGTTGGCAGCAGGAGCTTTCCTATAGTTTAATAATAATAATAATATGTAGAGAGATGTAGCACCTTTGAGACTCACTGGAAGAAAGAAGTTGGCAGCAGGAGCTTTCATAGACTAATAATAACAATAATAATAATATGTAGAACAATCTTGCAGCACCTCTGAGACTCACTGAAAGAAAGACGTTGGCAGCAGGAGCTTTCCTAGACTTGAATAATAATAATAATAATAATAATAATAATAATAATAATAGCTCTTTAGCACATTTGAGAATCACTGAAAGAAAGAAGTTGGCTGCAGCAGCTTTCCTAGACTAATAATAATAATAATAATAATAAGAGAGATCTTGTAGCACCTTTGAGACTCAAAGAAAGAAGTTGGCAGCAGGAACTTTCACCCTTTTTCGCCCTTCTGTTCATTTTCACGCTTTTTTCCAGGGGGAATTCTAAAATGCCCTCCATTTTGAGCAGGACTAAAAAGCATGAATTGACATTTATAGAAGTGTTTTAATCTTTTATTTTGAGGATGTCCTCTATATTTTTCTTGAATGTCCTCATTTTTCTGTCACAAAAACGTCCTCCTGCAACGAGAACATCTGGTCACTCTGAGTCAACTCAAATTTTTAATGGTGGGTGTTTTTGGTCACAGAGTGAACAATGTCCTCCTTTTCCAGGACACATCCTCCATTTCAACCTTTTGTCCAGGAGGAGGTTCAGTATGTCCTCCATTTTGAGCCTGGCTAAGGCTCAAATTGACATGAATTGACATTTCTATGAGTACTTTAAAATAAATGGTTTACATGAAGTAAACCAAAATTACATCACCATTCTGCTTTAAAAACACATGCTAAAGTACAAATTTACAAAACAGGTATCGCTCCCATGATACTTTGGTCGGACATGAATATGAGAGTTGGAGTTTATATCTTCTATAAGAGGCAGCTACTTTTCCTTGAACTGATTACAAATCCTTTCCTCAGAGGTTCTCCTGACATACATCTATGAGTACTTTTTAAGCTGTTATTTTGGGCATGGTCTGCATTATTTCTTGAATGCCCTCCATTCCATGGTTCTTGTCCTCCTTTGTGTTGAGGACATCTGGTCACCCTGAGTCAATCCAATTCTTGAATGGCTAATGTTTGTTTATTTATTTATTTGGAGTATTTATACCCAACTTCAGCCATAAAGGCTCCCAGAGTGGCTTATAAATTGTTAATTTGTAAGGAAGGAAAAGGAGAAAAGGAAATGGTAATGGGGAAGGGGATCAAGTCTAGCCATTCTTCTCTCCCTCTGAGGCCAGGATGATGGCAGATGGAGTGGAGGAAGGGTCCTTCTTTCTCTGGGCCTAGGCCTGATGGAGCTTGGTGACCAGAGAGACTCCTTTTCCAGGACACATCTTCCATTTCAACCTTCTGTCCAAAATGTCCTCCATTTTGAGTAGGGCTAAGAAGCATGAATTGGAATCCTAAGGCTTTCATGGCCAGCATCCATAGGTTTTTGTGAGTTTTTAAGGCTGTGAGGCTGTGTTCTGGAAGAATGTATTCCTGACATTTCACCTGAATCTGTGGCAGGCATCTCTGAAGATGCCCAAAAAACCCACAAAAACCTAAGCATGGATTGGCATTGATATGAATGTTTTAAGCTTTTATTTTGGTCATGTCTTCCATATTTTTCTTGAATGCCCTCCATTTTGCAGTGCCTTGCCCTTGTTTGTGGTGAGGACATCTGGTCATCCTGTATGTGGGCATGACTGCTTGCAACTCAGCTGGGAAGTGAGGCTACCAAAGACTTATCCTCTTACTCAGCCCTTTGCTACAGTTAGGCCAAGTTAGGCCTCTTGTGGCGCCAAACTTTGGTCCTTCAGGTTTTTCAGAGTTCATCTTCCAGAAGCCCCTGCCAGCTTGGTCAATAATCAGGAGGACCAAAGTTTGGGAAGCACTGTTTGAGTCTCAAACGTGGTACAAAATCTCTACATACTGATTCTACAGACTAACATGGCTATTTCTTTGAAAGAAAGAAGTGGGTAGTAGGAGCTTTTCTAGATTTCAGCCTACTTCCTCAGATGCACGGGGTCTTTAACACAATTTAAAATCACTTCATTAAACCAGTATAAAATTATGTAAAATTACATATGAGGTCTTTATCACAATTTAAACCAGTATAAAATTATGATAGACATACCTATGGTCTGTCTCCACTCTCCATTCCACCCCATGCATCTGAGGAAGTAGATTCAAATCTACAAAAGCTCATACTATCAACTTTTTTCTTCCAGTTAGTCTCAAAGGTACTACAACGGGTTGGCAACCTTTGTTGCTGGGGGGCTGGGGGGGGAATGGCGTGGGGGCTGAGCGTGCGCGTGCGTGCATGCACTTGCCCCCCTCGCGCACATGCACACGATGCCTAGTGCTGTGCTCATGCGCGCATGCATGGGGCGCCATTTTGGAAGGCCCCACGGTGGCTGCGCTCTGCAAATTCGCATGGCGCAGGTGCGGTGGGGCCTTCCCAAGGCAGTGACATAAGGGAGGGGGCGGATTGCCCTAAGTGACACCTTAAGTGGGGTGTGTGTGACACCACTGCTCCTCAGACATCTGTGTTTTGGCAGAAACAGCCTTCACCTGCTTCCCTTTAAAATACTTTAAGAGATGGTGGGAGTGCGGCTAAGCTCCGTGGGAGGAGAAAGGAGGGGCCCTAGGATTTTATTTTAAAAAAAGAACATTTCAACTTTTTAATTTTTTTTTTAAACAGATTTTGCCAAATCCTCTCAGTCTCTCATTCTCTGTGTAAATACATTCAGGTTATGCATATGATACTGTAATTTGAAGGTATAATTTTAATTTTGCTAGTTGTTTATGTCACAACTATTACAATTAGTAATGTTCAGTGATCTAGAACATTATATATTCAGTATTTACTTGTAAATACAATTTACAAGTAACATCAGTGCAAAAAACATTACTAAGGATTCTGTAGTATGTAGTATGGGAGGAGGTCAATGAAGTGGTGACACCATGAGTTACTGCACTGGGTGACGCCAACCCTAGTGGTATCATTGCCCTAAGGCAAACCTATCATGGGGTTTTCTTGGCAAGTTTCTTCAGAGATGAGAATTGCCATTCTCTGAGGTTAAGAGCATGTGACTTGCCACGGTTTCCATGGCTAAGCCAGGATTTGAACTAGTAGTCCAATGCTCAAGTCACTACACCTTACACAAAAGAGAATTGAGGTGAGGGCATAATTTGAGCTTTTAGGAATTTGTTTTCCTAAATGTACAGTGGGTCCTTGGTTTGGTTCCAAGACCCTGCCCCCCACCCCCACTATTGATACCAGAAAAAAACCAACTGTTCTTATTTAGGAGCTAGCATAGCATAGTGGTTTGTGTGATGAACTACAACTCTGGAGATTAGGGTTTGAATCCCTGCTCAGCCATAGAAATCCAGTGGGTCCTTGGCAAGTCACACTTTCTCAACCTCAGAGGAAGGTAAAGGCAATCTCCCTCTGAACAAATCTTCCCAAGAAAATCCCATGTTAGGTTCACATTAGGGTCAGAAATAACTCGAAGGCACACAACAACAAAATGGACATTTGCCTAAATTGACAGTGAAAAAAATGATACTTTCTGTTTTTTAAAAGTAGCTGTATCAGTCTATTCCATATCCTTAAAGTTGTGTGTTTTACTAGGAACAAGATGCCTAATACTAAGGAGACCACTTCAAGTGACTTGAATGATTCTCAGAGTGCAGACTGCAATCCCAGAAGAGCAAAAGAACATGAAGACATCCATGGTGGAGACATACCTGACCTCTGTCCACCTGAAATCCCACCTTGTATGTGCACTTCTGCTTGAATGCTGGAAAACTCAGGTGTCACTTGTACTTTGGGGAAATAGAACATTTCAAGAATAAAAGAGTTGTGTTGGAAAGATTTAAAATCAGTCTGGGTTCTGAAGTGGATTGAAAAGCTTTTATAGAACTGCTTCAAAGAAAACCTACAGAAAACATTCAGTAAAGAGTTTTGTTTACTGTGTGTCAGGACCATAAGGCTGACTTGTTTATTTTTCATACAGCATTTCATAAAGTGCTACATGTAAAGCAGTTGAATTTAGATTTCCAAACAGCAAAGCTTAAAACCATGTGTTAGGACAATCATAATTATTGTTTTGTTATTAATTCTCATATCTTTTCATCAGCAGAAGTAATACCTGTGGTATAAAAAGAGCTTGCAGATCAGTAGATTTTGTCTTAAAAACAATTATTCAAACTTATACTATGACTCAGATTACTTACTCACTTATTAGACCTTCATCCTGTTTTTTTCTCCAGAAATGGGACTCAGGGCAGTTAATAATGAAATAATAAAAAGTATAATTGAGAACTTAGATTAATTAAAAGATAAGACAACTTTAAAAGGAAAAAAAAAGAGATGAGATATTAGCACCTGCCTGAATTAAAATCTCTTTTAATGAAGACCAGCTTAATTGCCAAAGGCTTGTCTGAATAAGCCCTTGCCTGTTGATGGAAGGACATCGAGAAAGGGTTAGTCTAGTCTCCCACAGTAGAATCCTATGTCCTAGGAAAGGCCACTGGTTTTCTTTTTAGTGAATGTAGATAGAATTGAATGGCCTACTCCCCAGCTATTGTTCTATCCAACTTTCCCAGGACTGTTCTCAGGCTGGGATTATTTGTCATCCACTTGGGTGTAGCACATTCCTTTTGCTGTATTTTTGTAATTGTGATGTCAAGAATATTCATCTTCATTTTTTCTCCAACCTTCCTTTTGTTTAAAAAACAACAAAGCTCAGGGCTGCAAATTGAATTTTTAAAATTCAAGCCTGCCCACTTTATAACCTACCAGGTCAAACACAACTTTAAGTGCAGATTGACAAACTTTTTTTTACAGCTTGCCTATAATCGCAGAAGCAGTGTCATATGTATATGTCAAAAACAAGGAGAGCATGTCCCTTTAAATTAATCAGGGTGGATTTTTTTTCTTTTATAGAAATATTCATATCATCTTTGATGAGCACCCTAAGTGCCAGTCTATTTTATTTTTATGCAGCCAGCCCACCTCAATTTTTTTCCATGGCAGAACTCATGGAAACAGCCAATGAAGTCTCAAAAATGACAATAGCACATGAAATTGTAATAAATCAGGACTTCAAGCTTCAAGAGGTGAATTTCCCACCAAATAGGTAAGATTTTTTTTTTAAAAAAAATCCTTATGTTCCAAACTGTTTCCAGCTAACTTGGTGCAAGAGTGTAATTGATAAAGAAGCAACATTGAAAATAATTAACAACCTTGATTACTCCAACCCTCTTTGGCATGTTCTTATATAGAAAAAAAATCAATATATCTGTATGCTCATTTTACATGTGTGTGTTAGTGTCTTCTATTATCTACTAAAAAGTAAATACGCTTATGCTTAAAAGACAGGAAAGCTCTATTTCACATTAACTGAAAGAGTAGCCATTGGCTACTATGACCAGTATAGCTGAATATAAGGTAAGCTTTATTTATTTATTTTCTATTATTCTATTGTTGTTAACTGCCCTCGAGTTGATCTTGACTCATGGCAACCCTAT